CTGCAGAGTTTTATACTGGCAGACATGGTACAAGATCTGGGGAGGGTGGCCGTCCTGGTGGCACAGACCCGCAAGCTCTTGGTGGGATTGCTGGACAAGCAGCAGCCAGCTTCCCACCCCCAGGCCTGCTCCCTCACCGAGCTGCTGGTACCGGGAGATTTGGGGCGGCGTGGGAACAGAGCCCACGCGGCACAGCAGACGTGTGATCCCTCCGTCTACCCCGGGAAAGCCAACGCTGCTTTGCGCGGTGGAGCAAACCTCCCCGAGCAGCGGCGCTGGGAGCGAGCGGGTACCGCAGGCTCACGTTGTGCCTGCAGCAGGCGTCCATGCCGCAGCCCGAGGGCTTTGGCCGCTGAGCTCGTGTGCCAGCCGGTGCGTTTGTGCTAATGACCTGGTGGCTGTTGCAAAGAGGCAGCGTAGCGGCTGCGCTGGGCCTCTTGTCCCGTAGGAGGGAACGTTCCTTCGGGACTGTCTCTGCCCCATGAACGTAACTAAGGGGATGCGATGGGAGTGGAACTGGTGGTGTGGGGCGGGCTGGGAAGGTTGAGGGTGGCACCACTGCCAAGAAAAAGCATCTCAGGGCCCGTGGCCGCGATTACCTTCAGGACTTTGGTCAGATTTGCTCGAGATTTCACTGGTCAGTTCAGAAGCTGTTGATAAAAAGAAGGATGGCTGCGGCTTGGGAAACGAGGCTAAAAGGGAGTGTGGTGCATTAGAGGGGACGGCGGTGAAAATCAATGCTTCTCACTGCAGTGGTAATAACCCGTCTGGTCCATTTTGTATTCACAGTGCTGCAGGGTTCGTTTGCAGACATGGCAGTGCAAACCTTTTTAAAAAGCTGAATAATAGAAGTGTTTCTTTGCATTTGATTATGCAGAGGTTTAATTTTGCAAGTCCAGAATTTTGGACCAGATTTGAGATCAATTATTTGGACCAGACTTTACCCAAACGCTGCTGATGCTCCTGTAGCACCAGTGCTGCAAGAACGTATTACCTTAAAACAAATAGCATTGTTGCACATAGATCTTATATGTGAAATAATTGCTAACCAAGATGCTGCTGAGTTGCAGAAGTGTTGGTTTGTGAGCAGAGCGCAGTTAATTAGTCCGGAGGTGGCAGCATTTATTCCGATAGCTGCATCGCTCTGCAGTTCCCTGCTGCGGTGATGCTGATCCAGTTACCTGAGAGAGATTTCTCATGGCTGGGGTAAAGCCCTGACGGCTTTAGCAATTGCACTTACACCTGCTAAGAGGGGGCTAAGGACTGAGGCGTCCAGAAGAGGCCTCTGCGCTGTGCAGTCAGCTAAATATATTGAGCGATGACTGTCTTCTTCAGAAACAAGCCTTTGCTCACAGGTACAGGATTAGCTGTGCCCGATGACCTGATCTCCTCTAGGGATTCTGCTAAAATTATGGACAGCGCAAGACTGTCGATAAAAGCCCTGGTTTTAGTGGAGAGCCGCCAGCATTGTCTTCTGGTCTGAGCACGGGATCGGAGCCAGAACTCCTGCCCTTCAGCTGGCCCTTGTCCTTCCCCTGACAAAGGGGGAGAGAGAGAAAAACCCATTTAGGCTTCTGGTTTTTAGGTATCTGTACACTCTTGAGTGCTTCAGTTGTTCACTGGCCAACTCACATCTTAATACCCGCTTCTCAGATGTGCTGAAAATTATTTGGCTTCTGTGGGTGTTGTTTGGAGCTGTAGCTGTGCAACGGTTCTGGAAATCAGGCAGCCACTGTCTGCTCTGGGGTTTATAAAATTAGCAAACACTTCTGTAAAGGTAAACAGCCTTTTTGCAGAGTGTAATGTGAGATTAGTACTCTGCTTGTTCTCAGCGTGCAGAGGCAGTCAGCAGGCTGCTGGAGCTCTGAAACAGCCCTGTGCCGGGGAATAATGAGGTGGAACCGGACCCTGATGCTTAAAACCAGAGCAAGGCTCCATGTGATGCTACAGGGGCACGGTCTGGGCATTGGCTTGCGGCTGCTGCTTGCGGGGTTCTCCTCAGAGAGACGAGGTTGCTGTTTTCTTGCAGGCAGAGCTAATTGTGGGTGATCAGAGCGGTGCCATTCACATCTGGGACCTGAAGACCGACCACAACGAGCAGCTGATTCCCGAGCCCGAAGTTTCCGTGAATTCGGTTCACATTGACCCTGATGCCAGTTACATGGCGGCTGTTAACAGCTCGGTGAGCTCCGACAGCCTCGAACGTGGGATGGGATTTACCGTGCTCCAGCAGCTGCTGGGCTGTGGCTCCTGTGGGTCTGCGTGTACCGACTTTGCTGTGCTGCGGTCGGACGTGCAAAGTCCAGGCTGCTTTTGGGTAGGTGACCACCAGCCCGGCCACAGATCCCCCTGTCTTGCCACAGGGAAATTGCTACGTGTGGAACCTGACGGGCGGCATCGGCGAGGAGGTGACCCAGCTGATCCCCAAGACCAAGATCCCAGCGCACAACCGCTACGCCCTTCAGTGCAAGTTCAGCCCTGACTCCACGTGAGTGCGTGCCAGCCCCTTGCCTACCTGTGCTGGGAAACAGACGGGGGCAGGCAGAGGCCAGCTGTGCCTCCAGCTGTTGGGTAATGCTGGCCTCACACTGCTCTGCAGGTCCCCCAGGGAGGAGTGGGCTAGGAGGCGTGGGACACGCCAGCACTGGGTTGCTGTCAGTGGCATCCCAGCCTTGTGCTCGGTGATCTCAGCAAGCGCTACGGCCGCGAGCTGTTCTTACAGCTGGGGTCGAATTGCTGATCTCCAGGAGCAAAGTGGTGAAGTTGGTGTACTCCTTCACCAAGTCCGGTCTGCTTGAATCTCATCAAGCAGATGACACAGGTGTAAAGAAATCTGATTGCAATGAACACAGGTCTCCAGTTCATTACTGTTCCAGGTCCACATTAACGAGCGGCCCTGAGGCGTACAGCGTGACTAATAAGGGTTCCCTCGCGCGTCTCTTCCTCACAGGCTCTTGGCTACGTGTTCTGCAGATCAGACGTGCAAGATCTGGAGGACTTCAAACTTCTCTCTGATGACAGAGCTGAGCATTAAGAGCAATAACCCAGGGGAAACATCTCGGGGCTGGATGTGGGACTGCGCCTTCTCGGGGGACTCCCAGTACATCGTCACCGGTGAGGCGCTGCTGCAGTCCTGCCCTCGGCCCACGCTTGATTTGGACTACGCCCGGCCCCCAGCCGCAGGGCCCTGCTGTAGCACAGGAGACACCAGTTTCTGTAGCTGGGACATTGCCAAACCCTCATGCACCAGTGTAGGCGGGGAGAGAGCACCCAGCCCCGCACCCACAACGCAGTCGACTAACTCCCTTTAGGATTTTGCCTGTGCTGCAGTAGGGCATCTGTTTAAAGTGGAGAGACGATCTTCATGTGTGCAGTTTCTTTCCCCTGGTAGCAATGCTGCTTGTAGTACGCAGTGTGATAGTCCCTTCAAAACATACGTGTTGTAATTTCCACAGCAACTTCTCTCCAAAATAATTAAAACCCCACGTAATACAGAAATGCACTAAGCTTCTTGCTCTGCACAGCTCCCTTACCGGTCATCAACAGCCCTAATAATGGTGTTGAATGAAGCAAGAGGAAAGTTTTTCTGATAGTAATGAAAGTTTAAAGGGCACTGCAACATGTCCCACTCCTCTTTTCACTTTCTGTTCCAGCCTCCTCTGACAACCTGGCCAGACTTTGGTGCGTGGAGACAGGAGAGATCAAGAGGGAATACAGCGGCCACCAGAAAGCAGTCGTCTGCCTTGCTTTCAACGACAGCGTGTTGGGATAATGGTCACGTTGTGGGAAGGAGAGGACCTCTGCTCGTTTCCCCGTGTCTTACAGTGGCAAGCACCCTCTCTGGAGCCAAGGCATGCACTTGTAACCCTCCCCTCCTCTGACGGAGCGGGCTCAGTCTCTGGCAGAAGCAGCTGCATCTGCATGGAGTGAGACCAAGCTTGAGCTCCGAGCAGATCATTACCGAAACGTGCGTGGCCTCTAAGGGAGCCCGCTTGGACAAAAGGGAACGGGAGAGGGAGGCACGATCCCACTGCGGGGAGCTGGCTACAGTTCTGCTGGAGGAATCCCTGTGGCTGCTGACAGCTTTGTGGTTTTTCTTGTGCCCCAAAATGGGGAAAAATAGTAACAGTCCACCTTTCTAAATGATGGAAGAGGCTGAGCAAAGAGAGGAAAGGCAGCAATGTTTTGCAATCCCTTTATTCAAAGTGTATTTCACAGACTCACTTGGAGAGCTGCACTCTTACAAAGCCAACCACCCCCAACAAATTTAATAACCTTGTGCTGAACAGGGCATGTAGCCATAAAACACTAGCTACTCCACGCGATTCCTCTAGGCCTGGATCTCCTAATACCTACGTACAAGATGCAGCCCTGGAGGACAGCGGCAAATAAAGTGTCTGTACTGACGGTGCTGAGCAGAGTCCTGTTATTTTTCTAAACTCTCCTGAACTGCAGCATGAAATCAGCAGGGAGCTTTGGGGGGGTATTGTAGCTGTTACCTTCCTTGTTGAAATCAGAGGCTTTTCAGGAATCCAGTTCAAGTATGTAGAGCAGCGAGAGGGCATCCGCGGCTGCAGGGCTTACTCAGGGAGGTAATAGAAGCAGATAGACACACAAATGTTGCTTGGAAAACAGATGTCAATGCAAAGGTAGATCAGCCGCTGTCTCCCCGGACCTGCCAGATGAGCAAGGACAGAAGCAGGGTGAGAGGAATGCTTTTGCAGTCCTGCAGATACGAGTCCCCGGGGAGCCAAACAAGCGGAAGGCCTCAGGGAATGACCTTTCTCATTAAAGCTGGAATAAGACAGAACAGAGTGAGAGCTGAGCAGGCTGCTGTTGTAAAGATGAAGGTGACGAGTATTAAGCCAACAGCATCGCAGGGGACCGCTCTGTGTCGGGGCTGTGCTGTGCGAGCAGCTGCGCTGCAAAGGGGGCTCGGAGCCTTTCCCACCCAGCACCGTGGTTCACTGCAGGGTGTGGGTACGAGCCAGCACTCCCCGATCCCTGAACAATGGTTTGATTTTTGAACTAGAGGTCACCTGTCCCCATCCCGGGGGACATGCCTCAGCTTTTGTGCAGCAGAGCCTGCTCCTCTTTCAGGTACGAGAAACAATCGTGCTTCCCTCTTCTGCAAAGGGACACGTACAACTTACTTACCCTCTCCTCTCCTGACCCAGAAGATGGATGTCTGCTCACACAGGGTCTGGACAGCCTCCCCCAGGCTTTTGGGGTCCACCTGTTCCCCCGCCAGAATGCCCAGGAACTCCCGGTAGTACTTGGTCTGGTTATTCTGATGTAGCAGCAGATCAGCCTGAAAGAAACGTCCCTGTTAATTCCTCCCAAGGCACTTTGCCCCTCCGGGTGCTGCCCTCCAGCCCCTGCTCTCGCTCTCAAGGTGCCCAAGGAGTGGGCTCTCTCTCTCTCTCCCTCTCTCTCTCCCCACCCCCAGCAGTAAGGGCAGGTTTCTTCCCACGGC